ATCTCAATTTCTCTTACATACTGGGTTTATTTGCTCCTGCTCTGATGCATCACTCTTTATTTTTAAACAAAACTCAACTTTGTTACTAATGCTTATCTATGTAGATGACATCATTCTTACAGGAAATCACATAGCTCACATGGAGCAATTAATTAGCACGTTGAGTTCTGAATTTGTGTTAAAGGACTTGGGTCGGATACACTTCTTCCTTGGAGTGGAAGTTTACAAAACTACCTTTGGAATGATGCTCACCCAAGGAAAATACTCCAAAGATCTACTTAACAAGACCAAGATGTTGGAGGCTGCTCAATACATTACACCTATGACAACCTCTATAGTAGCTGCGACCAATGACAATAACCTTGTTGATGCAGCAGGATATAGAAGCCTTGCTGGTTCACTCCAGTATCTCACTCTAACAAGACCAAATATTATACATGCAGTTAATAAAGTGTGTCAGCACCTCCAACAACCAAAGCTTAAGGATTTGAAAGCCATCAAGCGAATTCTACGATATCTAAAAGGCACCATGGAATATGGTATGTCCTTTTACAAAAATAGTTCACTAAACTTATATGCATTTTGTGATGTAGATTGGGGAGGTTGCCCTGATACAAGAAGAAGCACCACATGATTCTGTGTCTTCCTACGATCAAATTGCATCTCGTGGGCCTCAAAGAAGCAACCAACAGTAGCACGATCAAGTTCAGAAGCGGAATATCGAGCCATAGCAACAACCACAGCTGAACTAACATGGTTAACCTTTATACTCAAAGACATTGGCGTTACACTAATCAAATCACCTCAATTGTTTTGCGACAACATGGGTGCTCTTCACATGACAATCAATCGGGTGTTTCATGCAAGGACAAAACACATTGAGATGGACTATCATTTTATACGGTTAAAAGTGGCTCTAGGACACCTTATAACTCGTCATGTGCCTTCAAATCTTCAACTTAGCCACCTATCAAGTCAGCATTTAGGGAACTCAGAAGCAAACTTGGCATTCGCGAAGCTCACCCCATTGTGAGGAAATATGATAAAAGAGTGAAGTGCCAAGATCAAGATCATGCTAATCTTGTCTTGCACACATTATAATAGTATCCTCAAATGTTATACTGTTGTTGCTGCTGTGAGCTGTCATTACATTGCTGTCATACAATTTCTGCTGCTGTGGTATTAAATATTTGACCAATTATGGTGATTATCAACCAAATCGTGGTAGATGGGGCAGTACCAATTTTCTACTGTTGGCCATAATTTCACCATAATTTCACCAAGTTTCTTTTCCTGTAGTTGCCTTATATGCCACATCCTTTGTGCATCAGTGTATTTTCAATCTTCTTATATAGACCCCCTTTAGCAAACTTTTTGGTTATCAAGAAAGCAAGAATCATTCCTTTGTATCCAAGTCTGATGCTTTCATATGTAACAACTTTATTTCATCAAATGGATGTCAAAAGTGTTTTTCTTTAACTTGAGTAATCCTACTAACAAAAAGACATATATGAAACAAGGGAAGAAAACCCAAACTTGGATTGTGTTGGGTTTGGACTAAACCGTAATCTAAACCATGAAATCGGAGAATGTAATGTTCGGATAATGGAGCCAAAACAAATGACCCGTGTCCTACGAGGAAAAGGATTTTCAAACACTACTACCAATTCCTACAAGGAGTAGGATATTATTGTCTTATAAGGATTACAAAATTATTTTCCTATAAAGATTGGAATATTTGACTTCTTATAAATAGAACCCTTTTGTTAAGGTTTCATTTGTACAGAGTCCAAATAAGAGAGACTTGAGTGGTTGTGGACAGTGTATGAAAAAAAGAGTTTGTATCTCGTGGGTTTAGTGAGGGTATTTTCAATTGTGTAATCCTAGGTAGCCATTGTTAAGGTACTTAGAAGCAAGATAGTAATATCTTAAGTGAGATCTCCATTGTAATATTCTCAACTATAGTTGAACCTACTTTTTTGCAGAAGACTGGACGTAGTACCAAGATAGGGGCGAACCAATATAATCCCTGTAGTGTTAAGCTTTTCTATCACTATCTCTTATTCCTTTGTTATTGTTACTTACTTATCTGCTGTTAGCTTGTGGAAGGGGAAAATCAAATAGTTCCTGTTTGAAGAACTTACAGGAGGATCGATTGATCTATATTATTTTTTCCCAACAATTGGTATCAGAGCGTTTGGTTTAGAGATCATGGGATCAACAGAGAAGTCAGGTTTTGAAGGAATCATGAAGTTCGATGGGGCCAATTTCGAATATTGGAAGATGAATATTAAGGATTACTTGACCTGCAATAAGTTGAATAAAGCTTTAAAGGAACGACCAGCAGGGATGAAAGATAAAGATTGGGTGGAGACGAATGAAGAGGCAGTTGCCTTTATCAGATTGTGTTTGTCGATGAATGTGGCAAGTCTCGTAGCAAACGAAACGACAGCAATAGATCTGATGAAAGCATTGGAGAATAGGTACGAGAAACCCTCAGCTAATAATAAGGTATATCTCGTAAGGAGATTCTTTAACATTCAAATGGAAGAGAATACTTCTGTCAATTCCCACATAAATGAGGTCACAAAATTAATCAATCAATTGGCATCAGTTAAGATTACTTTTAGTGACGAAGTGAATGCTATTCAGTTGCTAACATCTTTACCTGAAAGTTGGGAAACGATGAAGACAGCAGTGTCCAATTCGTTAGGAGATAAATCTTTGAAATTTTCAGAAATTTGTGATGCGGCAATTGCTGAAGAAATTCGTAGAAAGGGGAGTGGAAAAGAATCTACTTCCGTACAAGGCTCAGCATTGGCTGTCGAAAAAGGTAAAGAGAATGTTGCGTCTGATGACAGGTAGCAGAAGCATAGTAGGAGGGATTGGAAGAGAGATGTTGAATTTTTTCACTGCCACAAAAAAGGTCACATCAAGAAAAACTGTAGAATATTAAAAGAGCATCTGAAAAGGTATATGGCGGAGTCAAATGCAATTGTAAACAATGTCCTCGTCTGTGTTGAAAGCAACACAGAAATAGGAAACCAGTCATCGGAGTGGGTAATAGACAGCGCAGCTTCAGTACACATATCTTCAAATAGAAGATTATTCCCATCTTTCAGAAGAGGCAATCACGGCCACGTGAGGATGGGGAATAGAAGACTTTCCAAGACTAAAGGGATTGGAAATATACGATTGAAGACCGATAGTGGGACTGAGTTATTACTGCGAGATGTCAGGTATGTACCCAGTATCAGAATGAACCTTATCTCTACAAGTAAGTTGGACGATGATGGTTATCAGAGTGAGTTTGGTGGGAACCAATGGAAGCTCACCAAAGGATCCAAGTTGGTGGCAATTGGCCATAGAAGATCTACAGTTTACACGTCGCAATTGAGTGTTGCTAGAGGATCATTGAAACAGCGGATGCAAGTTACAGATGGTGTCCAAAGAGGTAGGACTGAGCCAGCAACAAAGACAACCAGAACAAATCAGGAGAATCTGCCATCAATTCAGGAACAACAATTGGGAAGTCAAAGAACGAGAACAGGTTCTTTAGGTTGTCTGGGATTATCTCCAGTTGTCAGATGAATGGGTGAATTGATGAAGTCACGTCAGCGAACAGTTGCATTAGAGAAGATGAACTCAGTAGGTGCTGAGGAAAAGAATGGAGTTTCAATTCTGGCAGCAGGCTTGAATACAGTTGTCAAGTCATCAGTGGGAAGTTCTCTCTTCAAGAATCAGTGTTTGAGAACGAAGAAGGAAGCTTCAGATATCGCCACTTAGTTTGCGTGGGAGCACGTGGCTGTATCTCTTGCGTCTGGGAGACAAGACCACGTTGATTGCCCGACCTCAGGGCAAAGACAGATGAGACTGGTGATTTCTGATATTTTGTTTTACAAGTTTTTAAACTTGCAGGAGAAGCCTTGAAGATTTTTTCAAGAAGATCAGAAATTGTTGCAGTAGAAGCTTTGGAGTTTTCCAAGATTATGAGAGACTGTTGTTGCAGTGGGAGGCAAGATCGATGTTTTGTCTCCATGTGGGAGATTGTTGGAATAATGGAGCCAAAACAGATGACCGCTGTTCTACGAGGAAAAGGATTTTCAAACACTACCAATTCCTACAAGGAGTAGGATATTATTGTCTTATAAGGATTACAAAATTGTTTTCCTATAAGGATTGAGATATTTGACTTCTTATAAATAGAACCCTTTTGTTAAGGTTTCATTTGTACAGAGTTCAAATAAGAGAGACTTGAGTGGTTGTGGACAGTGTATGAAAAAAGAGTTTGTATCTCGTGGGTTTAGTGAGGGTATTTTCAATTGTGTAATCCTAGGTAGCCATTGTTAAAGTACTTAGAAGCAAGATGTAATATCTTGAGTGAGATCTACATTGTAATATTATCAACTATAGTTGAACCTGCTTTTTTGCAGAAGACTGGACGTAGTCCCAAGATAAGGGCGAACCAGTATAATCCCTGTGGTGTTAAGCTTTTCTATCCCTATCTCTTATTCCTTTGTTATTGTTACTTATTTATCTGCTGTTAGCCTGTGGAAGGGAAAAATCAAATAGTTCCTATTTGAAGAACTTACAGGAGGATTGATTGATCTATATTATTTTTCCCAACATGTAACCAACCCGACCGAATAACAGGGTCTTTAAACCCAACTTGCTAGAATTTGAGATGAAAACCTTTATGAATTAGTTTAGGAAGTCTTTGGATATGTGAATCGATCCCTAAAACACAAACACAAAAAACCTTCCAAATACAAATAAATCAACTCAAATCCAACAATTTTCTTTCCCACAAATATAGAAAAGTCAATATATTCCATCTTAGTTCACTTCCTATCACAACAAATATCAAGCAAATATATGAGAGTTCTAAACTAAATTACACATCTCACAAGAATACATACTATTAATTGGCAGTCAAGATTTTATTGTGAAGTTTTGAAATGGTGTAGAACTTGATAGGCCAAATATATGAACCAAATGATTCAACATGGAATGCGAAGGTAAAGTGGAATGGGGTTGGGTTTGTTGGGAGGAGAATCCCACACCGAGAAGGCACTTGATGAGTTTATCCATTTCTGTGAGATTTCAGGGTAATGCCTTTCTATCACATCCTTCAAATTCTCTGTGGATTTCACCCATTCTAATCCCTTCTTTGTGTATGTTTCTTCGTTGAAATGGCTTGTGAAAAATCTATCTGCCTCTATCCTCCTGCATTTAATTATATTGTTAGTTTTCACTTTCATGTATTATCTAAAAGTACATTCAAATTCTGTTTGATAATCATTTTGTTTTCAGTTATAGAACCCGTTCTAGGTTTTTGGTTTGAAACTCTTTACATGGTTTTTGTTGATTTAGATCGTGGTATCTATATGAATCAAAAATAAAAATAAATAGTCTAAATTTTTAGTATTTATTATTTTTTAATCCATAAACTTTCAAGAATTTTCCTTTAGTTTGTAGACTTCACATTAGAAACTATTTTAATTTAAGATTAATTTATTTGTTTAACAAAAACTCAAAAGTCAAATCCATTTCGAAACTCTACACTTGACCTACTAAATGTATACCTTCAATCTCATAAATATTTACTCCTCAAATAAATGAATAAAAGTGTTTCTTAAAAGAAATAATGACCCTAACTAAAATATAATTTAAGAAAAGTTTCAAAACTCATGAAACGTGATAGTGTTTGAAATTTAGAAAGAAGAGGGAATAAATATGAAATTTAGGATTGATTTAAACCTAAACAAGGTTGAGTGAGAAAGATATATATAGCATACAAATCCTTTTAATTATCATCAAAAGAAACTATGAATAATTAAAAATCTCAATTCATAATATATATATATTTTTTTTAATTAAGCTCATAAATACTACTCAACTTCTTTATTTTGTTATGCTGCTCTTTTATAAACCTTTTCAAAATTAAACTAAAATAAAATTAGTTTTTCAAA